AGATCATAAGAATGACATCCGCAAATATCTCACAAGTAGTAGATAAGGCATCTATCTCCCACTGAGTTTGTGTTTCGGAACACTGATTTCCACATATGGTTTTTTCTTTCTTTTTAATCTGAAAAAGAATTTAAAATTCTTCACTGGAATTCCCCAGCATGTCTGGTTCAAATGAAATATTTCACCCAGTTGCAGATTGTCAAAGAATTTACTGAACATTGATATTAAGCCTTGCTGGCATTATGTAGTGTTACATTGCAAATAATGAAAACAGTAAAATAGACTATGAACTTATGTTCATAAGTGTGGGTATATTTTTGTCTTCCACCTTGACCAAGAAATTATATTAAATGAATTATTTCCCAAACTAAACTTTGGGAATATATTTTTTTTCTTTAAAGAAGCAACAAAAGCTTTTTTTTTTAATTGTAAGATTAGCTTTCTCTGTATGATAAATTTTAATGGAATGCAAAGCCAAGTTGTGATGAGGCTTGAAATATAAATGAAAAAATACATATTCTGAGCATAATGTACTAATATGTAGTGATTACTGTGTAAAAGTCTATTGCCAGACTATCAGATATATACAATGAAAGTCACAGAGAGTCATTAAATGGAAAACTGTTAACAAATCAGAAAATCTTGTCCTATGAATACTGCTCCTTTTTAGCATTCAGACTTAATGGGAAAAATTTCAACCTTCATTTTTATTAGATATAGAACAGAGTAATGATAACTATTGCTTTGAATCACAAGTAAAACCATACCTTTGTACTCTACTGCTTTAAATCTCATAGAATTTGGTACTTGATGCATTTCTGACCTGAAAATTTGTTCCGGTACTCCTTACTTGATGCTCAGCACACAAGCTAGAATTTGTCAGTGTGGATTCACTCCTGACTTACTACATATTCCAGCCAAAACAATTTGTTTCTCACAATTTTAATACTTGTTAAGACATCTGAAACTAATTAATAACAAATGTCAAGGTATCAGTGCATAATAAAATTATACATTTATATTAAATCTGATACACGTTATTATGAGGAAAGTATTGATTGTCCAACAAATTTGTCTCCACTATCAATGTGATGTTTTGCTTTCAAATGCAATTCATTTGAAAGCCAACTGTTGAATTTCTCTGGATATGGTTTTCCAATGCTAATAAATAAATGTGTCTCTATTCAGCTTTTCCTTTTTCCCTCTAAAAGAAGATTCCTTGCTCTATCGGCACAGTTAAAACTTTATATTCAAGTCTTATGATTTCAACTTAACCTTAAGTGTGTCTTCTATAATTCCTATTTGCTAGTGCCTTTCCTCAGAGCTAATAACAGTAGTAAGAGTAAATGTGTTATGTGCCTTGTAATGTACTAAGGATTTAGCAAATATAGAATGATATAGAATAAAATGGAGCATCTTATTGTTATCTACAAGGGCTGTGATACTCATCACTACCAATAACAAAGTCTTTGTCTTTGTCTTGGACCATACTCCGCTTGGCTAATTTTGTTCATGTCACACTTGCCTGCTTGCTGTGATCCTATCCTAACACTGACAGTCATGCTTCAGAAATGCTCCGCTTACTATTCCTCATCTGGAAAAACTTTCCTCTGTTAGGAACAGGACTCTATTTTTTTCCTTATTTTAAATTTGTTTGATGGGTACTTTCACAATAGCGTTACCAGTTTAAAATTATAGCCACTAATTTATTGTATGATATTGTTATGTTCAAGGAAGTCTTACAACATAAAAATGTTTGAACAATGAAAAATATATGGACTGCCTGATATACTTAGGAACTTGGTTATTGCAAAACAAATTAATATTCCCTGCTGTCCTTCTTAAATCTATTTTACTCCTCATGCAGATTTCTTGGCTGTCTGTTCTTAAAGCCATCCTCTGCTCATCCCATTATGACTGTTTTCCAGAATTCTTTTTAAAACTGGCTATTGGCTTGGGTAAACCAGTAGAAAGCACTTGAGGAATGTTGAAGTTAGGAAAAGGAGATAACTAAAATTATTTCTTTTCTCATTGCCTCATATTTTGTTTCATCAGTGTTTAAAAATGAGTTCTCCAAGGTTCTAGATCTCTCTGGAGATGTTATGCTTCAAGAATCAAAGCTCCAGCAAAATCCTTGGCAATTCACCTTCTGGAAGTGGCACTTTGATACTTGGTTATTACAACAGTTTCTTCCAAATCTTCCCTTATCCCTCCAACACTTAGGATGGTATTGGCTTCCTGCTGCTCCAAATCTGTGGAAGCCCACCATCCTTTGTATAGATTTCCTTTATTTTCATATGTTGGCATCAAATTTTCTATCTTAAATTTGTTTTAGAGCATAATTTGAAAGGATTGTCTCTTTCTTTCTCTCATTCCCTCTGTCTCACACAATCCTCTCATTTGTTTTCTTGACAGTGATTTCTATGAGTTTATTTGTGGAGTCAATAACTAAATTTTAAACATCAAAAGAACTGAAATTTGTTTTGAATTTTTGTATTCCTAGTACTCAGATTGCTGAATGCTATTTGCTGAATGGATAATTGATGAATAATCTCATGCCATTCTCCCCAAAATATCATCACAAGGTTTAAGGCACTAGAAGGTTAAGTAACCTTGTTGAAGCTAGTGAGTAGATAACCAAGTTTCAAACCATTTTCTGGATTTCCAAAGATTTCCTAATTAATATGCTACACAGCCTCTTTCTATAAAAACAAGAAAAAGAAGCAATCCTGATAGATGTTCATATGTGTTGATATCTTTGAATAAAAAGTATTTCTAACATTTCCAACTTACTCTTTCTATTCGTACCTTTCCCTTTTGATGTATACTCATCAGCTGGATAAAAGTGAACTCATTAATATCATCATTGGCAAGCTTCTAATACATAGTTGACTCAATCACTGCCATTAGAGAAACAAACACTGCTTTCCAGGATGAGCATATTAAAATCCAGTTAAATTAATTGTTCTACACCTTAAAACCCACCATCTTATCTCTGTCCTCTCCTACAAGATCTCTTTCTCAAATAACCTCCTCAGATAAAACTTTTGATTATAACTCAGAATTCACTTACTTTACTGCCATCCCAGAGCTTCCTCTTTGCTTTTATTAATAATTATCTAGCATTCAAACAAATGTGTCTAGTCAATAGAGATACGTGTTTCTCATATGAAATAAAATAACAAGGTTTAAAGTATACAAGTTGATTTTTCAATAAGTTATCAGATGTGCTCAAAGTAAAGCAAGGGTTTTTGTTTGTTTGTTTTGGGGTTTTATTTGTTTGTTTTGTTACCTGGTGTAGAATTGAGGACCTCATGCTTGCCAGGCAGGCTCTTGTGCCACTGAACTATATCTGTGGCCCTAAATTTCTTAAAATAAATTTGGGCAAGAAATTCTAAATAAATGTAAGCATACTAAATTATAGCCTCCATTTCTAGCTTTCCAGTATGCATTTCTAACAGAATGTTTAGCTTAATCTTCTGAATATCCCAGTAAGTAGCATGCAATATATTTTTCTACATTGTTATTTAGTAGAGAAGGAATTGGTATATAGAAGTGACACCCTTGGTCTATCTATTAAAATTATGATATTTAATATTGCCATTTGATATGGTGATATAAAATAGGACTTTACATTGTTATTTTACTGGTTTAAAAAATATTCATGCATTATGTATTCAAATATGTATTCTGCCACTTTCTTCCTAAATTATATTTATAATAGAGCATTATATTTTGTTTCCTAACATTTCTCTTTCCACATTTTATTATAGATGTTTACTTCAGACCTATCTTCAAGTTTAATAATTCTTTATTTTCCCTGTTCTGTTTACTGTTAAATAGATCAACTTAGTTCCTAATTTAATTATAACATTTGTCAGTTCCAGAATTTCTTTCTGTTAATCCTTAAAAATTTTATATCATCTTTAAGTACTATAATTCTAATCAAAATTTTTAATCCTGCATTTTTATTATGGTCAGCATAATTCCTTGTCACACATATATAAGATCTAAAACATATGTGCACATCTGTAGATACTATATGCATTTTCTAATCTGCATTACATAAATATATTTTAAAGAGCTAATCTGCATATATTTTTTGCATTTTACATTATATACATATATGTTAGAAGAGCTTAAAAAGGCCTACAACCTCTACCAAGTGTGTATTTTGTCAAATTAAATATACATTTGGTAGAGTTTTTTGCTATGTAAACAGATGGGCCTCCATTAAAATCCTGGCTCCTATACTCACTCCTTAACAGTAAGCAAATTATTTAACCTTTTTTTAATAGCCAGTTTTAGGAGTTGTAAATGAGTTTCACAATGCATATATCACAGGTAAATTTTAAGATTTAAAAATGATAATAAATTTTGAATTATTGTTAGAATTCCTGAACCATAGTAAGTACATATAAATTGGTCTAGCTTTAGTAAAAGTAGAGGTGGCATGATACAATTTAAAATATCAAGGACTTTGGATTATGACAAGGTTTTCTCCAGAGACAAATGATAACCTAGAAATAAAGTGGCCTTTGGTGTTACATACAATTGAACTCTGCTGCAGTTCTCCAAATGCAAACTGAATAGTTCGTACAAAGTACTCAGATTCCCTATTTCTCTATTTTTTGACATTACAGTGATTTTACAAAAACACAGTTTGCGATGCTTATTTGAAAATTCAGTGTAATACATATAAGATTCCTGAAATACCAGATTATAGTAGGAATTTATGTTCATGGTCACAGTCATACTCTAGACTTCAGGTTTTCATATTTCATTAATATTTTAAATTAGTAGTATGATTCAATGCTGACAATTTAGAAAAACAACAAAGTTTTAAATAATTGAAAGATCTTTCTTTCTTTCTTTCTCTTTCTTTCTTTCTCCTTCCTTTCTTCATTCCTTCCCTCCCTCCCTCCCTCCCTCCTTTCTTCCTTCCTTTCTTCTTTCCTTCCTCCCTGCCTCCCTTCCTTCATTTTTTTCCTCTAACAAAGTTTGTGACAGTTTGCCACCAGTGCACTATCAGGAGACAATGAGTACCATTCGGACATGGATCCAGCAATCAGAAACCAAACTCTCTATACCTCAGCTTAGTGTCACAGAATACGAAATCATGGAGCAGCGACTTGGAGAGTTGCAGGTCTGTAGATATTTATATCTTATAATGAACATGGTGTAGATCTCATTTATCAAGAACTTACATTGATGTAACCTTTAAAATTATAATTAAATCAATGAGAAAAATGGTAGCTTAACAGTTGAACTAATGAAAATAAGACTTTAAGAATATAATTTACGTGTATTCCCATGTCTATATAGGTATATATATACATAAATACATGTGTACACATAAATAAAAATTATGCCCTTGAAAATAATTAATGTATCAGTTTTTTTGTTTATTATATCTTTGCAAATGCACTTATTTTGATTATTATGAAAGTATTATTTTACACTATTGCTTCCTTATTTATAACTCATATTCTCAAAGAAACAATGGTAAAGTCATTATTTGTATAAATTTAATTTGAATGTAAATACTAATCAAATATAATATAATAATGTACAATTTGAATTTTAGTAGTGATTATGTCTTATATTAGGAAAGAAAATACTAATATGGGGTATGAATGAAATAATTTGTAATAGATATTAGAATGTATTTCCTGCTACCTCTAAAAAGACTATGCTGTATATTCCGTCTTTTAAGATTTGAAAACATATTGATGAATTATTTTAGGAGCCTAGATAATATGATCATATTTTGAGAATTAAGACAAAATAATTTAAATATTTAATTGTTATATTATGGGTCCTTATTATGAAGTTAAATAATATTTCTGAAAAAGTGATTTCTTTGAAGAAGTTTATTTAAACATTTTTGAGATAGACTGGCTTGGGGCTGGGGATAAGCTCAGCGGCATAAGCACCTGCCTTGCAAGCAGGCAGTCGTGAGTTTCGATCCCTGGTACCGGTAAAAAGAAAGAAAGAAAAAAAAGATAGATTGGCTTATTCGGGCTGCTTGTTGTAATACAAAAAAAAAAAAACAAAAAAACAAAAAAAAACCAGGTAGCTGTTTAAACTTTTTTGTTTCCATTTTGGTTTTGGTTTTGTTTTTAATACTTGGAAAAAGAATTCCTCAGTTTATTTGAAAAAATGTGTATACTAACCAAAGTAATCAACTTTTTAAAAAGTATGTGTGTGCTGGGTGGTGGTGCACATCTGTAATCCCAGCACCAGAGAGGCTGAGGTAGGAGGACTGCCATGAATTCAAGGTGAGACTGGGCTAAATAGTAAGTTCAAGGCCAGCCTAAACTTTACAGAAAAACTCTGACTCAAAAAAGTCAAACCGAACCAAAACAAACAAACAAACAAAAATACAATAATATGGCAATAGCAAAGGGAAGAAGAATGAAAAAAATAATGACTATATGACCAAAAAAGAACATTTCCATTGGAAAAAATAACAAAATACTGCTTATAAATATTATTATAAAATTTAAGAACCCTCATTTAAAAGTCCTAAAAAATTAGAATATACACTAAAAATTGAAAAACCATTAGGAAAATTCTAAAAAATCTTCTTAAAAACATGATGAAAGAATACAAACAAAATCAATGAAGGCATCAACAGACATTGTAATACCATCAGAAAAAAAATCTTTCCGAAAAATGAGTCCAAATAAAATATTTTTTCTGGTTAAAGAAGATTTTAATAAGAAAGTCAACCAAAGGTAACATAAGTAGCTAATGATCTGTGAAAAATTGTAACTTGATTGTAAAGGATGAAATCCACATTTTTTTTTTTTTTTTTTATTTAAGAGGAAAAAGAGAAAAACACAAAACAAACCAAAGCGGCGTAAGGGTACACGCGGAAATCCACATTTATAAAATGAAATATATTTCTTAACATAATAAATGGTTCACACAAAATATATTAGTACAAATTTGACAGTGATGAATTAAGCATTCTCACATTACAATGTAAATTTAATGTAAACCTGGCTGTGCAAGTTTTCTACGTACTTTTTAATAATAGGTAAAACCAATTGCTTTTATATATGCATATAATTTTCTTCAAGCCTGAATCTTATGCAAATAAACAGAATATATACAAAGAGAGATGTGGATATATATAAATAGGTGATAGCTAGATAATAATTTATGGAATTGGAAAGCTACAAATGAATTTTTTCCACTGTCCTCCAAGTGGAAAATAATTGGATGAAGTAGAAAAGCTAATAAAATTTATATTGTTTGAAAATATCTAATGACATGGGGAAAGGTTCACAGTACAATGCTTAGATTAAAATATAGTTATATGCCAGATATTGTATAAAATCAATCAAGGTATAATTTTTAATAAATTAAAATACGATTAAAAGTAACTTAAAAATATAAATGAAATACCTAGTAATGGGCATAAAATCTTATGCAAAAATAAAATTTAAACCTAACAAATTATTTGGATACTATGTCACACTATAATACAGAGAAAATAATAATGTTAATATAACATAGCCATTATTTTAAATTTCCTATAGATACAGAAAATTAATAGTTTATATAATTTTGTCAGTGGTAAGTAGATTTTTTCATTTCTTTTCATGAGAATTTATTACTTTAGTATCAGAAAGTATCATTTAACTAAGATTAAATAGAGAAAAACTTAAAAGATCAGTGTCTTTTATAGTAGATTTTGTATACTGTGCAGAAGAGATGTAAAATAATCATTTATATATTTTCCCAAAAACAGCCCTAGTATTTCGCCTTAATAATTCAAAATGGAATAATGTATTTTCAAACATATGAAACTTCAGTTAATTGACAGTAACAGGCTATCCATCTATAACTTAGTTCAATGAGTATAATTAAATATAAGTAAGTAAATGCTAATCCCATATATCAACATGATTTAGTTATATTTAAGGTGTTACAGACTGCAGATTTTGCAGTGAAGTTAAACTTCATTAACTACATCATAAGTGCAGTTGTTATATATGCATGATTCAAAAATAGATTTGCTATAATTCTTTAGTTTCTTAAGAAAAAGTTGTAGGCATATTTGGCATTGTTTATAAAAATAGGCACTTGTTAGTGGTGCATGCCTGTAATCCCAGCCTTTAGCAGGCCGAGGTAGGAGCATTGCTGTGAGTTCAAGATCATCCTGGGCTACACAGTGAGTTCAGGAAAAGGAATTTAATCTAGTCTAGCTATTTTAATTAATTTATTGCACTTATATTTCTGACTGCATAATTTTTATTCGAAATGCACTGAATTTAACTGAAGCATCAATTATTATTCTTCAGTTAGTATAAAGATACATTTTCTTTTAAATATTGAGGCTTTGCAAAGTTCTCTGCAAGAGCAACAAACTGGCCTAAACTATCTCAGCACCACTGTAAAAGAGATGTCAAAGAAAGCACCTTCTGAAATTAGCAGAAAATATCAATCAGAATTTGAGGAGATAGACGAGCGCTGGAAGAAGGTATCCTCACAGCTCCTTGAACATTGTCAAAAGCTGGATGAACAGATGAATAAACTTCGAAAAATTCAGGTAATTCAAGATTTTAGTTTTTTATATTAGGAATGATTTACTTATTTACCTCCCAACAACACATTTTAAAGTGTAAAAGTAGGTATAAGTCCTCCAAAATTCTTCAACAAATCAAAAGACAGGTCATTCTCAAAGGAGTGTAATTTAACTATTTCTAAGAAAGCAGTGACTAAGTGTTCTGCATCTTCGATTTTATTTACAATTAATTTGATTTTTACACCAAACTCCTAATATGTAAATAAGTTAACTTAATAATTTTAAAAACCAATTATTCATTTAATCTATTTGTCCTTTAAAACAGCTATCATTTACTGTGACTAGAAAAAAGCCTGATATATATATATATATATATATATATATATATATATATATGTGTGTGTGTGTGTGTGTTTTGTTTAATGTAGTCATATCATTTCATCACCATATTAAATTTACAATTGCATGCTTATCTGATCAACTTCTTCCACAATCACATTTCTATTAACTTAATATTAAAAGATACACTGTACTGCTAATGGCATAACGTAAAAATCATGAACCAATAATTAGAGTCTAAAAGTAGTCTAAATGTTTAAAATAATTAGTAGTATAGATAATGTCTTTCATGGTTGGGGAGTTATTGTGAAATATATTATTGTTAGGAAAAGTAATTTCAAAAGCATGATGACATATGAGAAAAGTAATAGAACAAGGGGCTTGTAGATTTAAATCCCAGCTGAATTGTTTATTTTTACATTTTCCAGTCTATAACACCAAGAAATCTTCCATACTCCATGATAACAACATATATATTTACTTTGTTCTGTGTATAAAAATACATATACAAGCATGCCTATATAAATGTATATAATGAAAAACGTGCCTATCAGAACTGTTGACCAAAGGGAGTAAAATTATTATATTTTTCAACATCACCGATAAGCTCACATTCTAGTGAAAGAGAAAAAATAGTTTATTAGTTTTCTGAAAAAAATTACCATATATTTAATGGCTTCAAACAATACAAATTGGTTATCTTACAGTTGTGGAGGTGAGCCATTCCAAATCATTTTCAGTGGACTAAATTCAAGGTGTCAGCAGGGATGAGCTCTTTCTGGTGGCTTCAACCTGTTTCCTTGCCATTTAGCTTCTGGAAGCTGCTTATATTCCTTTCTCATGACCCTAATCTTCCATCTTCAATGCCAGCAGTGCCGCACTTTCCAGGGATAATATGTCAGCGTCCATATCTCTCCAAGTCTATTTCTCTGTGTCTATGTGTGTCTCTCTCTCATTCTTTCTCTCCTTCCCCTCCTTTCTTGTACTCCCTCTTAACTTGGTAAAAATTAAATTACATTGTGCTTATCCAGATGAATTGAGGATAATCTTCATATCCCAACTTTTTTGACTTGTTCTGCTCTGCAAAACCCGTTATATCACATTAGGTAATATTTATAAATTCTGATGATTAGTTTGCAATATATTTTTGAGGGCAGAGTCAGAATGCAGCCTAGCACAATAAGTAAACTAAACATTATTGTGAACATTTATAACAGTGCGATGGAAAGAAACCCAGTGTCAGCTTAGAAAAAGGGGTTATGGAATATTATTGGAACATAGATTATCTCAGCTATCCTTTCAACAGGTAGAATTTAGTCACTGAAAAAAAAAGAAAAAAGAACAGTATGTTTAATTAACTGAGAAATTCAGTGTCATAGAGGTAATACATATTTATAAAGAATAATGAAATATATTGTTAGAAAAATGGCATGGGAGTAGATCATGAGTAGTCTTTGATGCCACACTTTGGACTATGTGGTTTGACCTAGTGATAATGAGATTAATATAACCAACAAAAAAGAACAAAAGAAATAAAGGGCTGTACCCAATATTTTAATGAGACGAAGATGTAATTTTAGTTGCATATGGATAGTAAAGGTCCAGAGTTCTGCCTGATGGTCCTGGCAGAGGAGAGGGTCTGAGCAGACTGGGACCCCGGAATGTCCTCCGCAGAACAAGTGAGTCACCCTGCCAGAAGCCCCCGCTCAGGCGCCGCCCCCAAAAGGCCTCCTCATCCTTCCAGGTCGCCATCTAGCCACTGACCCCATCCGGGTCTTAGCCCGGCCTATATAAGAGGGCAGGCTCTACATTAAATATTGGATCGGTGCCATCAGCCTGGTCTCCAGTGTGATTTATTCCCACCGTGACTCTGTGCCACTTCCCACAGGCTCAGGTACATGCAGTGACAGTTGCATTTTCAAAATATCATCATTAAATCCGGAAGAAGGCCAGGTTATTGACCTTGATGTAGACAAATGATTCACATACAATAGGACTGAGTAAGATATCAAAAAGAGATAATAAAGGAGTCATTGAGACAAGTGCAACATCAACTGGGTTATGGAAGAAAAGATATCTTAACCTTGCACGATATCAGTAAGTTAACAGTGTTGAAGTCCTTAGTTCACCCAAATTCCTACAAAATATTATTATTAATCTTATTAAAAGGGAAACTCTGTGAAGCACATATTTTCAATAGAATTTAGTTGAGAAAAGGTAAAATAATACACCCAGTGAGCATAGTTGAATCACATAAATAAAGAAAAAAAAACCAGTCATACATTTGAAAAATACCCATCAGAAAAATGAAATATTAAAAAGAAAAATGAGAGGTACTTCATTATTTCTAAACAATGACAGTTGACATTACACCTGATCATTACTTCAAACTGGTAAAACAAATTTTAAAAAACGAAGATCAAGATCTTTGTCTTTAAAGATGAAAAATCTTGATTGAAAAGTTCCCAACTAAATGGACTGTCAGCTGTGGAAAACAATTTGTGGATGTTTGGGTTTAGGGAGGCTATAAAGACAGCATTACATTGAGTTTATTGTTCATAGTTTGTTTTATGTACTGTGAGGGCACATTGTTAGTATTATCATGAGTTGTTTTGTAACTTAAAATTTCTCTAGAGAGGGATGTGATTTAATGTTCTCAAGAGGAACATCATAAAACTACAATTGGTAGTATTTTTTTTATTTTTAACAATAGGAGACTTCATATACCAGTGCTTCTACAGTAGACCATAAAAATGCAGTGTTAGTAAAAAATATTCTTTTCCCAAAAACTACTTAGAGACATTCTTCCAACATGGGAGTTATTTCTTGATTCGTGTTTAGACATATCGTCATGATGAACTATGTTAAGAGCAATCAGCACCCCTGTAATGCCTTAAAATGGGTCTCTTATTCCAGAATCACATAAAAACCCTGAAGAAATGGATGGCTGAAGTTGATGTTTTCCTGAAGGAGGAATGGCCAGCCCTTGGGGATTCAGAAATCCTTAAAAAACAGCTGAAACAGTGCCGAGTAAGATTTTTATATGCATTCAGAGGAAGTCTTTCATATGTAGAATATTATTTGCTTAGATCAGTGGTTTACTAGGGAAGATTTTGCTCCCCACTGTCAGGGGACATTTCACAACATCTGGAGACAGTTTGGGTTGTCACATCTTGTTGGAGTATTAGCTATAGATGCAACTGGCTTCCAGTGGGTAGTGCTGGAGTGCTAAGTAAACATCTTACAATCCTCTCCACAAGTAATAATTACATAGTCCAAAATGTTTGTAGTGCAAATATTGAGAAATCTTTGGTGAAATAAATCAGAAATAAATGAAACACTACCTTTTACTCAAATACCACTTCATAAGATTATTTTAATATAAAATCTAATATGATTTAAAGGAACCTTAGAGTTTTCTTTATATCTTATTATAGATTGTTACATACTGTGTTACTCGCTCCATGTATAATGCATTATACTGTAATATAACACAGTATGGATTTTTGAAATGATATTCATTATACTATTGGCATGCAGTGGGAAGAACATTGTCCAGGTCTCTAAACAAATTTCTTTGCAAATAGAAGCTTAAAAAGCAAATCTACATTTCAAATAGCCTTCACACTTATCATGCTAGAAACAATTGCTGCAGTATCCTATGTTTGAAAATGAAAATTCTTTCAAAAAGAGTAACATGGATGTCCATCATTTTCACACATTTTTTTCTAACAGGTAACATAAAATTTATTTCCCTCTGGTTTTGAGATAAGAATCATACAAATAATTCTCTACTTCATTCATGCCATAATAAACAATAATATTTAAAACTGTGATACACATATCTACAGCTTTAATTGCATCTATTTTATACTTTAAAGCACACAATTCATATGTAATATTATGATACCTCATTATACATTGCCTAATTGTGTTGCATTTATGGTATGTAGTAGAAAATTTTCATCCTGATTAAATTGAATTATTTTTTAGCTTTTAGTCAATGATATTCAGACAATCCAGCCAAGTTTAAACAGTGTCAATGAAGGCGGTCAGAAGATCAAGAGTGAAGCAGAGCCAGAGTTTGCCTCCAGACTTGATACAGAACTCAAAGAACTTAATGCTCAGTGGGAGAACATGTGCAGACAGGTATGGACAGTCTCCTTCACCGCGATTTGCCTCAATTTAGTTAGCTAAAGTTTTTTAATGTTTCCCTTTATAATTATCTTTATTTGAAGTTTTGCTACTATGCTGATGCTTGAAAGCACAATTTATGCAAACAAATGTCTTTTCCTAGTATGTAGAAACATTTGTAGGTAAATAATACATTTTTTTTCACATTGGGTCTTAACCTGACCTTGAACAAAAGTGTCATATGGAAGAATCAAATTCAACTCACTACGCTATTGTACTTCAATGTTTTCTTCAGTGCCTAAATTTATAACAATAATTGCCTTAGCAGATATATCATACAAGCATACTTAATATAGAAATAAAATGAATGAATAATATATATGAGTGCATAAATATGCTTCATAATTTTTACTTGTCTCTGTTAAGATTTCCAAGCTTGTCTTCTTAAATAAATTTATTTTAATCGTTGATTTAGAGTAAGTTAATAGCTGAATGAAATATATTTTTACATTCACAATTGAGTTACTCATTTTTATACAGCACGGTATTTTATAGTTATTTAAGAATGACATTAGGAAAAATGAACTACTGTATTCACAAGCAGTGCATATCAAATCCTTTTGTTCAAAAGATAAAATCTTGACCTATACAAGTGATTACTTCTGAATACACCAATACTCTTTTTTAAGTTAATGAGAGGTTTCATTTATATGTGTAGAGGCAATCAGGTTTTGGTTATTTTCAAGTAACTTTTCAAAGCTGAAGACAACAATAATGTCAAAAGGCAAAAGCTGAATATAAAAAGGAAAAGAATTTAGAAAACTAAAATTCAAGCCAAGTTTCTCAGCTATACAATCACTGGCAAATGCTTACCAGTTTCATTAACTAACATATGAGATAGCTTCGGGTCAGCTACCTTGGATTCTTCTCCTGCAGTTAAGTAAGTGCTAGAACAGTTGATCAGGAAAAAAAAAATATTACCTAAGTCATGGATTGTGCCACTGATATTTTCCTGGAAGGCCTGTATGAAAAATATTTGGTTTCACATGTTTTTAATGGATGACTAGAAACAGTAACATCAGTTTGTATAAAGCAAGAGGAAAGACAACAGCCAGAAATTATAAAGAATAAAAAGTATTAATTACAGTATTACCAATATCTCAAGAATTTTATAATACAAAAATGCAATGTTTAAGGTACTGTAATTCTTAAAATGGCTTGCTTAAAACTTTTTGTCTGCCATAATATATACTAAGACTTTACTGATCAAGAGAAGTATTTTGAACTCATAGGCCTCATGCATAAAAAATATTGTCTTAGCCCAATCGTGTTCTGATCCAATTATGCAGTATCCTGGAATATTTTATATCTCTGTGCTTTTCTGTGGATAACACACTGTCCAGGCTCTCATTTGTTACCGAAAGATCTAGGTTTTGAAAGGAAGGAATTATGGTACTCAAGGAGAGGGATATAGTCCAGTAAAAGGAGAGAAGCAAGGTTTGGGTTTTGATACTGAGGCAGTATTCAAGAGAAAATAATGGATGTGAAATATAAACCTATAGAAATAAAAATATCTACATACAAAGTAAGTGTGTGATGTTCCCTTTTGGGTTATATATTACTCATTATCTTCTATTAATTGCCAAGAGTTAGAAAAATTCAATGTCTGAAATATTCAAACATGCTTTATGATCCCATAATATTTTTGAAACAGTGTCTCACTATGTAGTTTAGGCATGTCTTGAAACCATTGTGTAGCCTAGGCTGGACCTTAAACAGATGATGATCCTCGTGCTTCAGCCTCCCAAGTGCTGGCATTGCAGGCATGTGTCACTACACCCACTGTTTCTCAAGAAGAAAATTTCCCTAAACCTTTCACTCCCAAGAAGCTTGGCCAATTTGGATAGTACATAAGCTCATAAGGGTGGAGAAATTTTCCTTTTTTATTATACCACTCTTTTAAGCATAACTGACATGCAAAAAGTTGTATATATTAAGTATATACAACAATAAATAACGGTTGTGTATAACAATGAGAACAAAATTATCCATTGTCTCCAAAATGTTTTCTGCTCACTTTATTTAAAATTATTTTCTTTGCAATAAGAACACTCAGCAAAATCTCCCCTCTTCCCAAATTTTTAAATATTTATTGTAAGATTGTTAATTATGGGTCCTATGTTGTACAGGAGATCTCCAGAATTTATTTATTTATATGCTTTGAATGTCGTTTCTTCATGTGCCTCTGTTCTCATGCTCCAGGTCCTAGAAACTACAAGTCTGCCCTGGTTCTATGTGTCGGAATGTTGTAGTTTCTAGGGAATGTGAGAAAAGATTTGTAAACCATGTATGTGATAAAGAGTTAATAATGAACCTAGAGAAGGAACTCCTACAATTCCAAAACAATTTTTTTTAAAAAAAATTAAAAAGAGCAAAGGACTTCAATAGACATTCCTTTAGAGGGAACATACAAATGGCCAACAAACATATGGAAATGTTCCCAGCATGAATAGTCATCAGGTAGATGCAAATTAAAACAACACTGTGATAGAACACAATCTTTGTTAGGTCCCTAGTAACAAAACAGAGCAAATCCCCCTACATTTTGGGGATGGTGTGGATAAAAGGGAACACTTTTGTGCTACTGATATGACAACAAATTGGTGTTGCCACTGTAGATAAAAATATAGTAGTAATTTAAAAATGTAAAATAGGATGAATGTTTGATTTAGCAATCCTCCCTCTGGGTATATGTTGAAGAGCATTGAAATAAGGACTTCAAAGAGACAAGGGCACTCTCATCTTCACTGTGGCATCATGACAATAAAAATATATGGAGACAACCTCATGTTGATCAAAGTATGTATGCATAAAGAAAATTTAGAAAGCACACATAATGAAATGTATTGCAGCCTTATAAAATAAATTTCTGTCAACGTGGATGAACCAGAATGGTGTTAAAAACACAATATAACATGTTACGATGTAAAAAGACAATTGCTACACCAGAATTATTTTTAGATACAAAACCAATGATGAAGTGTAAGACCAGGAGCTTGGGAACCTGCTACACCAGAATTATTTTTAGATACAAAACCAATGATGAAGTGTAAGACCAGGAGCTTGGGAACCAGATAACTTAGATTGAAATCTTACCTCTAATATAAACTGGAAAATTGCTTAAACTCTCTCTGTTTTGGACTCTCCCATCTATAAAATATAATTAATATTAATACATAACTCATAATTTAATAAATTTAAGAATGTTAAACTTTGTATATAGAAAGGTATATAGAAAAGAATCTGGTGCAATCCAATCATTAGTCATATGTTTGTTAAATATAATAAATCAAGAAAAAATAGAAACCCATACACACACACACATACACACACACACACACACACACACACACACACACACATATATATATATATATATTTTATGTATAATTTCAAGTAAATTATATATGGCTATATATGTTAATAGTTAATGACTTAATTTGTAATACAGTTATCACTAAATATTGGACTTAAATCAGGAGGGTATCATTTTGGCAACTCAAAAATCATCATCTTTCTCTCCATTGTATCTCTTTTGGGTGCAGTCATCCACAGATCTTTTTACTTAGATCTCTAATAGTTTTTTCTCCATTAACCTATTCCAATTGACTGGCTTCTTGCTTCATCGACACACTTGAAGTAACCTGAAGGAATCTGTGTATACTGCACTCTCCCTGACTTGCATCTAAATCACAAATTCTGCTTACTTTCTGTTAACTTTGATGGACTCTCTGTACTCAGGCAAAATTTTTCACTTACAGACCACTTCCCTTCCCTTTTTTTCTACAAAACATTGTACCGGTTATTGGCCAATCCTGTTACTCTTACATCTTTCTCCTGCTAAATCATTTCCATTAACAGAGAATTATGCTATAATATTTCCTGTCATTTTAAAATAGCATCCTTTGGTCCCAAAGTCCATCCTGCCATCTCTCCAGTTTCTTCATCACTTCACAGAAATTCCCTTCTTTCAAACACATTCTGTCCATTTTCTCTTGGATCATCGTGCATTAAAATTTCACCTGCACTACACTGAAGAGAATTTGTCAAGATCATCAGTGAATTCACATGACTAAATACAGTATTTTTGTTTACCTGGCTTTTGTACCATCATTCTTTGTTAGTTTTGAGTTTGTCTTTAGTTTCCTGAATCACACCCTGTATCCTTAGAGGTTGTATCACTCTAAACACTATATCCTGAGGTATTGCAGGTTTCAGTCTTTGTATTGCTTCTTTTCTGTTTTATTACTCATTGAGCAGCATTGAGTCAAATATAATCTGTAATTTATTCCCTCTACAGCATTTTTAAAAAATGGACCAGAATCTCAAGTCTGAATCTTCACATTCCCACTTAGCATTTCCCACAGATAAATACTGTATATTAAATGTAACATGCCCACACAAAATTCTTGATGTGATCCCAATCTGCTACCCTAGTAGTCTCTCTAGCAAAACAAATGCCACCTGTGTACTTCCATTATTCAAGCCAATGACTCAAAGTTATTTTTGTCTCCTATATTTTCCCTTAAACATAATCATCAAATAAATTAACAAATGCCATTGGTTCTGTCTTCAAATTTAGCATGATCCAACATTTCTCTTCATCTTTTTGAAATTACCCTAGATCTCCATTTTAGACCATTGCAGTAAATTCCTACATTGTTTTATCATTCTCACTTTTATCCCTCTCAAGATAGAGCATCCAGAGTTATCCTATCAAAATATGTCACATTATGCCATTCCTCTACTCAACAACTTTAAAAATTATCTTTGTAAAATCAATGCCTGTGTAAGTGTGTATGGACTATTGCTGAGTAAAGGACTGAAAGCAAAATCTGTTATCAGCAAAATGCCAATACAGGCTTAATGTATTACTAATGGATATCATATATATAAGAACAGATTTGGGAGAAAACTTAGACATACTAGTTTCTACTGCCTGTTGACCCTATAGATATAAATACATGCTTAACAATAGGGAAAGTTCTGAAATACTACTTTATATGTAAGAAAAATATAAAATTGGAAAGTGCTTTTGAAATAACTATTAGAATGATAAAAGACAAATAATAATGGAACTCTGGGAAACATTTAACTGTCAGAAAGTAAAAGTAAACCAAAAAAACATCTGTGAAAATAAAACAATCAGAGAAAATATTAAGTGTAAAGATAGTTGCTAAAAACTTTAATGTTAAAAAATGGAAAGCTCAAGAAACCAGGTGGGACTATGAGACTTACATGCTATGAGACTCATTAACACTAAATGAGGCAGATAAAAGATGTCTCGGGAAAATTACACTAGATTAAGCATTAGAAAATCCCTGATAATATTAGTAAATATGAATGGTATTCTGAGGACAAAAGACAGATTGTAGCTATCAAATTATTGAGAAGTCAATAAAAACAGAATTATAATGCTATTTGAATCTGTTAACTATGTAGAGATGTGATAAGGTGAATGTTGGATTGATTTATCTTTTTGAAATTATTGGGCTGTCCATGAACATAATTATAATATGACCATAAAAGGAAAAGGGTTGAAAAAATTGTAAACCCGCATTGATATAAAGGGAATATAGTGAGAACTGACGTCAGAGCGGCAGCTGTGAGCACAATTAATCAACCCTGGAAAAGACCAAACTCATCTTTTTCTCTGAGATGAGAGTTTACAGAAACTTGGGCAGGGTCAATGGTACAGAATGTTAGGCTTTCAAATTCTAGAAGAAGGACTATGGTGAAACTTCTATTTTATTCTTTATGAGTTATAATGTAATCAACTCACACTGCAGGATATTTCAGGCAGATTAAGGGACACATTTTTAGAGTCACTAATGTAATAATGGTAAAGGTACATTGTCATTTTAAGCCAAAATGTTTTCACAGAAGTCCTCTCAATGAATGAGGACATAAGCATTTTATATCTCACTCTCACTGACCAGTCATATAGCTGCAGAACATTAAATTTGAAAAAATAATACCCTAAGTTGAATGCAATTATTATACACCATAAACATATAGCAACAATCAAAAAGAACTTTTTATGTTAGTTATGAAGCTAAAAGAAACAGAAAAAGATTGATGCTAGATGGCTAAGAATCATGTCTAAGAATCCTATTTCTAAACCAGTGTTTATTCTAATACACTTTCATCTCAGAATGATCTCATGCCTCTCCTTGCTTAAAAATTCACTTTTGATCTCTTTCTTCTACTTTAGTTTTATAACATGCCATATTTTTTATTGCATGCCTTGGCTAAATTCCTTTAAGCCCTCTAATATTTTTGAAGCTTCTCAAAATGTTTCAAAAGATTATAGCAAATTTGTATTTGTAGAAATTTAGAAGTATGTTTACTTGGATTTATTATACACTCATTAACTATGCAAATAATATTTATACATTTGCTCAAATAATTGTCAGACCTATTGTTCTTCATGTGTCTGAGTGAAACATTCATTTTTCATTTGATCATTTATTATATCCAACCTGATAACTAAAGAAAAATGCAGTGTTACCTACTTTATTTTCAACATGATTTAGCTGTAAATTATATAAAACAAATTAAATGTGATTGTGGACTTACACAGATATAGTATTTGGTAAAGTGCAATTAAATCTATATTTTATAAAGACCATACATTAAAACTTCTAAAGACACCTGTTTAATCATAGAGAAGAGTAATGTTGTTTGGATAGAGTGATTTTTTGGGGGGGAGGAAGGAGTACTGGGAATCAAACTCATTACCAGACAAGCACTTATGCCACTGAGCTATATCCCTGGTCACTGGATAGAATGATTTTTGAAAGCAAGAGTGAAACACTAATTATAATTAATCATGCAACACTACAGGGTACTAGTACCAAACCATTAGCATGTATGATTATATTTTGGATGCTTTATGATTTGCTACTTTTCTGATAAGTGTTTAACACATTTCACTGTAAAACATAATACTTAAAAATATGTGAGATTTCTAAAAAATAGACATTCCATATGAACACATACATTGGTCTTTTTTTCAGTCTGGATTATTTTTTATTTTAAAGAATTTGAGACAAAGGAGGACAGAACAAAGCAGATCAGAACAGAACAATGTGAGCAACACAACACTTCCAACAAGACACCTGGATATTAAGAGTATCTACCATAATGTCTCTTTCTTTGACATAGTTGAGCATACCTTCACATACAGTAATATCGAACATAACATAATAGTATAGAACCATTCAAGAGAATGAAAGTATTACAGGGCACTCAGAACCAGATAACAAAAAATTAACAATGGACATTATATTATGTCACTTCCCATAGAAAGCTTGTTTATACTATCACACATATTAAAATCCAGTAAGACACAACATGATAGAACCAGTGACCACAGAAGAGCAAAATCGTGGTAGGACTTCAAAGCCAGATGATATTAAATCAGCAGTGGCTGCCATAATGTCTTGTTTTCTTCAAAATAGCTGTTCATATCATCATACATAATAAAATTAAACAAAACAGAATAAGACACTTCCAACTAATGAATGAAAACATTATAAGACTTCAAAGCAATGTAATGGGGAAACACGATTACCATAAGCTCTTATGTACTCTTACAATTTCTTACACTAAGGAGACTATATGGTATTTATACATGTGAGTTTGATTTATTTCGCTTATGAGTATGGTCTCAAGTTACATCCATTTATTTATAAGTATCTCAATGTGATAATTCCTTATAGCTGAGTAGTGCTCCATTGTATAAAAATACCACAACATCTTATCCATTCCTCAGGTGATGGACACTTAGGTTGTTTCCAAGATCTGGCTATTACAAATTGTGCTGCTATAAACATGGGTGCACATAGATCACTGTGGTATGATTTTTTTCAATCCACTGGGAATATGCCTAGAAGTGGGATAGCTGGGTCAATTGGAATTTTCAATCCCAGCTTTTGGAGGACTCTCCAAACTGACCTCCAAAGTGGTTGCACCAGTCTACACTCCCACCAACCAGTGCATGAGAGTTCCTTTTTCCCCACAGCCTCTGCAGCATTAGGTGTTGGTAGTTTTCTTGATCCTGGCCATTGATTCAGGAGTGAAATGGAATCTCAGTGTTGTTTTAATTTGCGTTTCTCTAATTACTAATAATGCTGCACATTTTTTCATGTATTTATTTGCCATTTGTATTTCTCCATCTAAGAACTGTGTATTCATCTCAGATGCCCATTTTCGAATTGAGTCTTTAAATTTCGGGGTTCTGGTTTTTTGAAATTCTTTATATGTTTAACAGCTTGCTTTTTAAAAGGAATATTATGTTTGGAATAGCTTTTCATTTTACTACATTCATGTTGAACATTTTATCCCATAGTATGAATATATCATAAATTATTTAAGCCCTCATGAAAGCACACTAGGTTTATTCTCAACATTTCATTATCTTCAAAGCTGAACAATGTCCATACAAGTTTGCAGATTTTGATCAGTATGATTCACTCTTTTAAAAATGAAAAATAGACTCAGATTTTAGAACATACTTTCTGAACACCTTTTATCAAGTTACTAAAAGTTGCTATGTGATAGTTATTTCCCTCAACAGATATGAAAACTTTTATTTAACCATATACCCATGAAACTGAGACTTTTCCCTTAGTACGTTTGACTTACTTTACTTATGCAAAAACATAAATTTTAATTTTTTATCACCTACCTGTAAATGTTATTGGAACACCCATAATGTATACACACATGACCATACATTCTTTTAGGAGCTACCTGTATATCACGTTTTTTCCAACACTCATTTTTATTTATGGCAACTTTCTATAGCTATTTGATGTTTATGGTTTCTTGGATATTTAAATCATAAAACATAAAAACTGAAAAAGTATTACTTTAAGAGTACTGATAAATCTAACTTTCCAACTGCAGCATACTGTCTAAAAAAGCTTTGTTATTTTTTTCTGTTCACCAAAAAGCATTACTAAGGCAGCAGCTAAATCACTGTAATGGGGCAAGATGATTAAGTAAGCCATGTAAATGGCCTCACCTTACTTTTGTACTTATGTGAAATGAAGTGTTTCTAATCTCCATGAGTTATTTTTCTTATGTATATAAAATTCTTCTGTTTCATCTGTGTCACTTAAGATTTCTGTTTTTTATAGACTTTTCAATGATGTGCTGATAATTTACTGTCAATGTCAGTAATCATGCTTTGTTTGATTTTTTTTTTTAATGGAAGGTCTACGCCAGAAAGGAAGCCTTAAAGGGAGGTTTGGATAAAACTGTAAGCCTCCAGAAAGATCTGTCAGAGATGCATGAATGGATGACACAAGCTGAAGAAGAATATCTAGAGAGGGATTTTGAATATAAAACACCAGATGAATTACAGTCAGCAGTTGAAGAGATGAAGGTAAAATAAATCAAGTAAAGCCAAGGATGAAAAACAGGAAAGAAATACAACATTGTTTATAATTCTAGTTTTGCACAATCTGCTCTTTTCTGGGTTTCATAGTACAGGTTTATTGTTAATTAATCTTGATTCATTTTGATACAATGTAAAAGTTATAAAGTGTATATTAATTTTAATGCATTGTGGTCAAAATGTAAACATTAGAATGACAGTTTGAAATATCATTTCTATTGAAATTATATAATGTTAAGAATTATAATAGGTGATAACATTAGCTGTTTGTAGCTATTGCAAATTCAAGCTGAAAATATGACTATTCTGGGATAGGGATTGTAAAATATTGTCAAATACTATGTTTCTTGTAGCTGAAAGCAGTTTCTCGGAATTCGAAAGTGTTGAATATTTCAACAAGCAATAATTAATGTGAAGTACAAGGACTGGATTTACATGTACATATCTTAACATGATCAAATAAAAACATACACTTTTTTAGGATTAAGGCAAATGGTACATACCATGAACTTAGAAATGAGGCCTGCAATTGAATCTACATAGTGGTATTTTGGTATGTTCCAGAGCAACTCAGTAGTGAACATAACCCTCTAATTTTATCATATAAATATCATCACACTTGACTGTATGAAGTGAGGCTTGAAACTTACACATACGGCAATTGCCTCGCCCAGGGTAGGCATTCAATTATTTTTAGTTGTAATGATAACTGTTAATCTTATGCAGTAATGAGAACTTATAATCTAATCATGCTAACCCAAATATTCAGATATTGTTTAGCTTGAGGCCTCATGACAGAACAAAATCATTATGGAGCCAGATTCTTGGGTTTGAACCAAACTTTCTAACCATAGGTGAGGTACATATATTTACTGAATTTTGATTTCATCATTGTTGAACTGGATCTCAGAATGCTTTTTTTTCAGAATTGTTTAAATGAAACATAAAAGTCCTAATACCACAAACAACACAAACTCAGTGTTACAGAGTTGATACTTACTATTATGATTATCATTAGTGTTGCATAGGAAGAAATTCAGTGTACATTTTTATAGAATTTATGTGATTATTCAAGAATTTTATTATAATTAAAAGCAGAAAGTACTCACATGAAAGCTCATATTTGAACTTTAAATCTGTCTTACCTTAGTCAATTTAGAACATAAAATTAAGATGTACAAAAAGATTGAATTTTGGTATTTGTAAAGCCTATAAAATATTTAGTCCAGCAGTACTATATATCATGCATTTATTCATGAATATAGTTATTGCATATATAATATGTATTCATACCCTTTAAATGCAGTGATAAGATCCCTACCTGCTTTCTTAGAATTTGTATAATATTGGAGGATGGGGGAATCTCAATGACTGAAGAAACAAATAATATCATTTTAGTTCATGATAATATGCCTAAAAACATACCAGATTTGTAAAATACAGAATCATTAGTTTAGTGTTTGCAAAGACAATGGACTGGTGAGATGATAGTTTAGAAAGTTTTGACTTGTGAGATATTTGTGAGGTATACTTTAATCGGAAGCTCTGAATCACGAGAAAAAGCCATAAAAATAAATTATGGCAGCACATTCCAGTTAGAGAGAATACCGCCACCAAGACCCTAAGTGGAAAACGCTTGCCCACTTGCCCAAAGGGGCACAAACAGATTTTAAGTTACCTAAGATGAGTTTAAGGCAGTAGGCAAATATTCATTAACACAGAGTTTTGCAGTCTATTGGAGGAAATTTCATCCTAAGTGAAATGAGAAAACCAGTAGGAGATTTCTAACAAGGGACTGCAGTGATTTCAAATTTGATCATGGGACGTCATCATGAGTAAAATTATTCCAGCACATTAGAGTTAGAAGGTACTTTGAAAGTAAAGTCAATTGTACTTTTTCTGCTGATCAGAATAACAAAATCCTCAGATCCTGTAGGTCAAATAATATAGCTACAGTTACAAGCTTTATCTGTTTTGAGGATATTTTATCCCATGGTACACTAAGCTATATCAGTTTATTTTAATTAAGCTATATCATTTTATTTTAATGTAGTTCTCTATTTTATTTATGATTCTTGAATTGTGTGCCATCAGTGTGGACTTCCCCTCATACCACAAATGCCCAGTGGTTTCTTCTCACTGTTTTCTAAACCTCTAGACAAATGTCACTTCTCAAGTCCCTTAGTAGGAAATCGGCAGTCATCTCAGGTTCAGCAGCTTTCTCTCTCTGGGTTCCTATGTTCGGTTCAGTCCTTTTTTTTGAGTATTTTCTCTCTCTCCTTGAGAAGGTTTTCTATTTCGCTAACAACTCAATCAGATCTTTTATTTTTCTGGCAATAGAGACTAGTGTGTCAGAAATTTTAAAACTTTGAAAACAATCTCTGAAATGAGTGGTCCAACAAATTTGTCCACAGTGTTTAGCAAGTACAAACAATCAATCTGGCTACAAAAATGAGTGCATCATGGAGTGATATTTAAAAGTGGAAAGGCCAGGGTAGCAAGTGGCAACATTAGCCAAGAGAGCCGGTGGATCATTTCCATTTCTTGAGGTTTCTGCTTAATGATCAAGTCAGTCTTTTAAGGTCAGTTTTACTACTTAGTACATAGTGATAGTACCTTTACCAGACTTCCATTTGTGTTGATTTTGAAAGTAAATTTATCTTTATTGTCAGAAGATACCAACAGACTTACTTTGGCACCTCTCCCTGGCTTATTCAGAGAAAAAGTAGAAACCACCTTCTGTTTCTTTATTGTCTTTCATATGTTTCACTTAAAAATTAACGTGCTGTTCTGGTAAGGTATTTTCCTCTGTAAACAAAACATTCCTATTGACATAATGAAATGTGAGGTGTTCCATAGGCATCATCTATCAATCTTTAAGACTTAAAGATCAGCCATAACTATATCCTGAACCTTTGTAATAAAACTCTTCAAATATCTTGAATTTTTAACTGTTCTTCTTCTTTAGAAGTTTTTATGCTGCTATATTTTTGTCCTAGGGCTTAAAAGAATTTATGCATATAATGAAAATATTAAATACCTATATAAATACATTTTGTTAATTTCTAGAGCCAGAGCCAGGCCTGTGGCACACATCTGTAATCCCAGCACTTGGAAGGCTGAGATAGGAGGATCCCTGAGAGTTTGAGATCATTCTGGGGCTACACAGTGAGGTGAAGGCCAGCCTAAACTACATAGTGATAGTCTGTCTGAGAAATAAAACAAAATAAACAAAACATCATTGGAACAGTGATTCTTGCTCTTGAGAGATCCTCAGACTCACCTGGAGGAGTTGTTTAGAATGATTGCTTGGCCTGAAATATTTCTGCACATGGATGGCTAGACGCATAGAAAGAAAGGGATCCAAAGTCATTGTTTTTATGAAGATTGTGTTTCAGTTATACTAGTCATTTAGCTTTTCCACCTTCACACACATTAAAGAAATTCATCATGAACTTCTTTCCTCATATCAACTTGGAATAATGAATTTCACATTTTTTTCTTTTCTGAGGCTCTCCCAACATCTCATGCAGATTCAATGAAAGAATACGAGAAACCCAAAAATTTGAAGAGAGAAGTGGTCCTTTTTTTTCATCATTATGTAGATGCACAAAATGCTTATACTTTGTAAAAATGTAATTGTATTTATTGGATCTACTACAGCATACTTGTTCCTCATCTCATTGAAAGTTTGAGACTGACTTAAAAACTATGAGAAAAAAGAATTAACCTCCAGAACCACTTAATTGATGGGATTTTTTTTTTTTAATCGGTACTGGCGATCGTGCTCACGACTGCCTGCTTACAAGGCAGGCGCTTTATGCCGCTGAGCTAAATCCCCAGCCCCAGACCCCTTATTTAAATTCCCTACATCTCAGTTTTCTGATGTTTAAAATAACAAAGCACATATATCTGAAGGTCTTATGAAAGATGCAATGAGGCAGTAATGTGGCATGGCTGACATAACACATAGCAGCCAGGAAAGTGATTAATGGTTGCTAAAATTGCTGATAATGCTATAATTATGACAGTCAAAAGATTATTTGTGTATCAACCATGTCATGTACAAACATATTTCATTATTATTGAGTTAAGTATTTGAAGTATGGCACTTACTCTTTGACATCATCAGGGAACTTGTTAAAAATAAAAATCTGAGGTACCATCCTAAATTTACTGACATTCACATTCTGTAGGTAAGTCCAAGCAATCTGTTCTACACAATTCCTCCAGGTGAGTCCGAGGTTCACTCAAGAGCAAGAATTACTGTTCTAATGATGTTTTGTTTCATATGTTGTCCAGTGATGCCAAAACCTATTTTTATAATATTAAACTAAACATTTTAATTAATACAATTAAAATCAGTGAACTTGTCTTGGTTACTTTTCTCTCGTTGCTGAGACAAATACTCTACACCAAAAATTAGGGAAGGAAAGGTTTATTTAGCTTACAGTTTTTGGAGGTTTCAGTCCATAATTGGCTGGCTCCAAGGCAGGGTGGCATGACATCAGGGTAACATTTCAAGGCAACAGCCAGAGTAAAAGGGAGAGGAGAGATAAGCCTCTTCTCTTCCTTTTAGCTGTACAAAGACTACCACCCTCCAGGGCAGGTGTGGCACTCACAAACTCTCTGTGCCCTCCACTTGCACAGGCTGAGGATATTTACAAAGTAAGGCTCTTGTTCCCTGCTGAGTCTGTCAGTTAAACTTCTAAAGTTCTCATGTTGACACAGTGTATTAACTATAACAAAAGTCAAAATAATTTGGAACTGCTGTCACATTGCATAATTTTAAAGCATCATGGGACGAAATCTAAAAGTTCATTATGTTGAAAAATACAAGAGTACTTCATGGCTCCATTTTGTTCCATATTCCCTGCTCCACCTGTCCATGTTCCTTGATTCTCACCACTACATTTTTGTAAGGCCCAACTTTCACCAGCCAAAACCTATGTTTCTTTGCTTGAATGTTTTCTTCAGACCTTAAATTCCCCTTTCCCACCTGTATAGTGTGTTGCAAGTAACAGGAGATAAATATTTTCCTTACAGTTGGCAGCAAGTGATGGGAGATGATGTGTACATAATGTATTTCCTCGTGCCTGAATGGGACAAATTTAAGGGATATGTTACTTTCCAATAGGATTAAACCCCAGTCACAAACAGTGGTTACTGAGATTAATGTCATTATCATCTCTCTTCCCTTTGCCATCTCCATTCCTCATTCTACTACCAGTATATTCCCTTCACATAGGACAAGCACACCAACTGCTTAGGGTGGAAAGGCCATGTCATATGTCATATTTTCTTCTTGTTCAAATCCAAACTTAAGACACATTGTATGTGTTTCTAAAATATATTCACATGATCAAAGAAATGTCCTCCAGCTAGAGACCACCAGCAACTGTATTTTAGATAAGCAAATTAAGGTATTATCTTTTGAAATGAGGAAAAATATAGGGAACTAGATATTATGTAAGTGAGGAAAGAACTAATATGATTTAGGCTTGTGGTAGGTGGTTGGAAGGAGAGTTTGAAAGGTTGTTGTTAGTAAGTATTGGTACCACCATAACTGTGCATCTTATCCTGTCCAGAAGGAAAGAAAACTAGAATGAAACTGAAGTTATCATTGGTAAAGAACTAGCAGTCACTCTTATTAACCAGGATAGAAGAGTATAGGCTGTTGTTTGGCAAATCTTGATTTTTGTGTGTGTGTATTCAGACATGGTTATGGTGTGATCTCGCTGTGGTTTTGAAATCACCCTGGTATCAAAGTGACCTTACACAACCGACTGTGAAACAGTTATGATCCATAGGAGACCAAGCATAGCCATGTCAGGCCAGCTTTAGACTCTAGGGGCTGCTTTTCTCTATTGCTTTCTATTTCTTGCATGTGTTTTCAATTACTGATCAGGACTTTCTTTCATCTAAATATAATCCCAAAACTTTATTAAGGACATTTTTCTGTGTTAAGAATATTTTCATTTGAATCCTTTTTGGCCTCATTTCAAAATTTTGCATCTGAATAATTTATGAGTGATTTTATGTGTAGACTACTAAATACTTTATAACTTAGCTAGTATTCAGTAATTATTTTTGTCTTCTTCAATTTTATTTAGATATATCCATAGTAAGCCCTAAATACATGCCTGCATAGACTATGTTTCAGACTGTTTTAAAGATCTGTTTAATTATATATTTCTCCACGATAAGTAAATCAAAATTGATAGAATGATTTAGATTTTGTATTGGATTTATTTTTATGAATCTCATCCTAACAGGGATGGTATGAGAAAAAATATATTATACATAGGAATTCGTTTTGGAAGTAAAGGCACTGACAAGTCTCTCAAGCTCGGTCTTTATTTTTCAGAGAGCTAAAGAGGAGGCCCAGCAGAAGGAAACGAAAGTACAACTCCTTACTGAAACTGTGAATAGTGTCATAGCTCAAGCTCCACCTGCAGCACAAGAGGCCTTAAAAAAGGAACTTGACACTCTCACCACCAACTACCAGTGGCTCTGCACCAGGCTGAATGGGAAATGCAAGACTTTGGAAGTCAGTTGATTTCCTTGCTTGCCCTTCATCAGTTTTAAGTACACATATGTTCATGTGTGAATCACAATAGTTAGCAGCATGAGTTCTGGTATAAAACGACTTAGGCTTCAATTCCTCCCTTAGGTACTTATAATTTGCATGATTTGAGGTCAGGTGTCTATTGCCCATAAACTTCTTTGTGGTGTGCTTGATGAGTGTGAAATAATACCTAATTTATAGAGTTGTTGAAAATGTAAGCTATTTGACTTATAATCCTTATCTTAGTATTTAACAAAAATAGGCAACAATTAATCTATTACATATCATTTCTGTTTTAGGTCACAAACATTCTAAAAACAAATTTTCTCTAGATTTATAGAAGTTTTTTTTCATATATTGAAAAGTTTATAATGTACTAAAATATCTTAGTCAGAAAGTATTTTGTAGAAAAATGTATCCTGCTGTAATTGTCTTTAAACATTGTGGGGCCCTGCAGATTTCTTTAAAACACATTTACTAACTAGCTCCTCGTTTCATATTTTGCATTATATTTATTCATTATCACAAGTCCTGATTTTACTATCCACTTGCCTTGTTCTCTAGATTGAATATATATGAATACAAATGAAGAATTCTGGTGCCTCAAATGATTTACCATATAACATTACATAAAATTAAACATGATAACCCTTGTGAAAATGCTGTGACAAGGAAAACAAAGGAACAAAAACTACTTAGTACAAAATGCTGATAATGCCATACCACACAAAAATTTGGACTTTAAATTTCCTTTTCCCATACAGACCTGTGTCTGGGAATAAAGTTGACAAAGAATTCAAATGTTCCATTATTATTGAAGAGCATCAATTTCTTATTTAAGGTTACATATTTAGTGTTTTATGTTTACAATCATAACTTTACAAGTAAAGAAAACCATTAAATATATAGTATATAACGGATTAAATGTATACATGCTTGCCTAAAGTAACTCAGATATATCTATTTTTTAACTTTCTAATTATAAAATATTATCTTTGGGTTTCTTCATTGTCATTTCAAACCTCTATGGATTCTTTTTCTTTTTTTCTAATCAAATTTATCCCTCAGATATGTGATAAGAGCATTCTCAATGCAAGGAACTGATGTATTTATAGAGGACGCATGTACTCACATTTCTTAGATTAGTGGTTTGTAAATGTTGCAGAAAATAAAAATAGTGAGAAGTGAAGGAATGATACTATAAATTTCTCATGAAATTGTCACATTATATGAAAAATATGCTTTCTTATCCAGGAGAATTGCTTTCTTACATTATCTAAGAAAAATGCCTAAATGTTCTTATAGTCTTAGTTTAAGTATTTAAGTTTAAGTTAAGTATTTAAGTTTATTTAAGTATTAATATTTGTATTATATTATTCATATTGCTTATTTAAGTAATATTCTTATTCATCATGAATTTATTTTGTGGTAGACTTTGTGAAAGATCTTTTATTTTCATGTTGCCTACAAAATCTTCAAAGCCACTTGCTTAATTATCATTCTATTGTCCAGTCATCCATAATATAGCTTCTAAACTTTCCTGTTTGTAATTACCTGGTTACTTACCCGTTGGTACTTGTCTCCTGACTTGACATATATACTTTATTTTATTTTAATGCAATGTTAATTATCATGTACTCCTTAATCAGAAAAATGCATCAGTAATAAATATTTCCGCAAATATCTCTAACCATAATATGTAGAAACATAAGCAGTGCTTCTGTATTATATATATATATACATATGTATATATAGTATTTGACTAATATCTTATTTTTTAGGTTCCTTAGATTTGTCTATACTATTGCTGCTGGAATTGTAATTAATAGTTTGTACCATGATCATGTGGATTTGACAAGGTTTTTTAGCAATTTCTGTGACCAGTTTTGTTTTTACCTTTTATTTTGTTTCTGGGTTCAAATTTCCTTCTTGCTTTCCCTTAAATGTTAAGGAGCAAATGCTCTCCAGTTTCACATGATTGAAAAAGCCTTTATTTTGCCTTCAGTATTGACAATAGCCTACTTGAGCATATAATTATGAAAGGACAAGTATTTTTTAAAAGATGTAAAATATTATTTCCTACTCTTCTGAAATGTCTTGCTATTAATAAGCCTCCTGTCAAATTATTGTTCCTTTGTAATATTGTCTGGTACCTTTTAATTTTCCATTTGTCTTTGAAGCTCTGAAGTTTTGCTCCATTTTATCTATGTGTAGATTGTCTTTCATTTGTATTTTTTCACCTCTTGTGTAAATAGAGCTGAGAAACTTTTTGTTTTCTAAGTTGTTGAAGATTCCTTATAATCTTTTGAAGATTCTTTTCCCCTTTATTAAGTATGTGAGAAATCTTTTATAATATAAATTCTTGATTTTATTTTAAAATAGTCTGTATTCTTATCTCCATCTCTCCCAATTCTGAGTAACTTAATGTAATTTCTCTTACATTTCTCAAATTCTTATTGCAGCTGCTTATGTCATAACTTATTGTTCAATAGTAAATCTTATCTTTGTATACATATTTATTTATATTTACATATATATGTTTATATCTGTAAAATATAATATTTTTACTTTTCAAGTTCTGTTTATTTTAAAAATCAGTTCTTTTATGATCATCTATTTTTGAAAAAGTTTTTCTTTGTCATCCACTAAGTAGTTTATATATACATAATTTGAGAAATCTCAATGAGTACTAAACTTGAATGACTTTAAATTTTCCAATATCTAAACCAACCATGTCAAACTCCGCATTCTATTAGTAGTTGGATTCTTAAATATTTTTGTCTGATTCCATAATTTTGGATTCACTCTTAGCTCTCTAAATTTGGTCCAACTTAAATTTCAATTTCATGCTTTATTCAAATCTCCTACCAATTTATTTTAACCTTAGGGCTTCAGCAGTTTTTATGAAGTAAAAGTAAGAAATATGATTTTGACATTCTCTCCTCTCAGTGTCTGGACACTGATCTTCTAGTGTTGGGTAAGGAAAAAATTCACTTTAAATTAATTTCCATTTTTGAGCTGGCCACAATCACTCTTCCATTTTGTTAATGCCCCATGTACTTCTGTGACAATTAGTTTGTTGTTCTTTTTCCATATTTCATTGTGATCAGCCTTGTTTTTTTTCTACAGACTCTATGTGGTTATCTTAGGGACTCCAGGGCCCTATTTCATATGAACTTGGAACTTCCAAAAAATTCTCTTGCAGATATTCACAATACCTTGTAATATTTAACAAGAATTTCAAGCTCATTCTAATGGATAGCCTTCTGCCATACTATCTTGAACATTGCATCCTTTGACATTGGATTTTTATAGACCCTCTGCACCTCAACACATAACCTCTGGGCACTGGAAGAACCTACATTACATTCCTTTCAGCAATGGACAGACTTGAAAAACTGCCTTTAACTGCCTTTGGGCATACTAACAGCTCGATTCACATGAACTATCCCTTAAAAATAAGCCACCTACTAGATGAGTGATTCTCTTAGATGATTCTCTCTTGCATCCTATGAAACAGAAGTTTCCAAATGAGAGCTAGATGTGTGACAGAGAACTTGCCTAGCATGTGCAAAGCCTTGAGTTTGATCCTCAGCACTGGAAAGAAGAAAAAAAAAAGAGAAATAAAGGACACAGAGATAGGTGTACACTACGTATCTGTATTAAAAGATAAGGCAGAAGAATTGTTAAAACTTTCCGAACTCTTCCCTCTTCATGTCACTCAAATGACCTCTTTATCAGCCTTCTTTATTTAGAACTGGGCTTGGAAAAATGAGTTATAGATACTCTCCTATACAAGAATGCAGGCAGTTACTCCTTTAATTACTCAAGTATGAAAAAGAAAATAAGTCTTTGTGGCAATATATATGATAAGGTATGGATTTTACCAGTTGGTTAAATTTATGATTTCTTCTTATGATAATGAAATTCCTTATGTTCAGTAATTTTTGTTTGTGAATTAGCCTATAGTAGAAAGTATTTTTACTAGAAATTCTTTGACATTTCACTGTTAAATAGTCTCTATTAGTATTTGTATTTGACTCTGCCAGAGTCTGAGAGGTATTATGTTCTGCCCTTGTGTGACATGAGTTTTAATATCTAATGAAAGGATCTTTTCAACCAAGAATCCAGAGGATTTTCAGCTTCCTTGTTAATTTCCTTTTAGTGAGCGAGGAGTTTCAGCTTGTATCCTGGAGGAGGAGCACACTACTCTTTTCCATCTCTCTGGCATGTGTGAGACTAATTTCTCTCATTTCCTGTCCCAATTTATATTAATTATCTCATCTCATATATCATATACTCTTCAGTTATTCCAGGATTTTTTAAACTCAGTTTCCTGCTATTTGCACTTTCATCTTTTTTCTGACACGAGGTTTTCTGATATATGTTTTATAGATCAATCTTAAATTTAAAATATTTCCTTTGTGTCCAACCTAGCATTTCACTATGACCGAAACAAGGTATGAGAAGCTTGCTACATCAGCACTATCTACTATTTTGAACAGAAATTTACTTCTTCATTTGCACTCTTCTTTAAAGCCACTTTGAATTTTGTGTTTTCTAAAATAATTTTAAGTTCCAAATGGTTAAGTTTAACAGTTATTATAAGAAGCCTTCAGCTTTAATTTAGGCTTTGAGATTCTATTTTATTTTGCAGACAACCTGTAAAGCTGATACAGTCAGCTTTTCCAGCTGTGTCCTTCAGATGCATTGAGGACATAAAAGGCCATTCATCCTGACGGTTAAATCAGCAAGGTAGTTCATTACCATGGATGGCTCCAAAGTTAATATGACACATTACCAATTACATCCCCTTATCTCCAAAGCTCTAAATACCCTTGGGTATTTAAGGAGATATTTATATTTTTCTGCTGGGATCTTTGCCCAGAAAGAAGACAGCCTATAGTCCAGCAGGAGTGAGAAATGACCCAGATTTAAGATTAATATCACCTTTTATAGCAAAACACTTAATATTAGTGTGTGTGTGTGTGTGTGTGTGTGTGTGTGTGTGTGAAAATGTAAAGCAGGCATGTAAATTTGGTAGACTGACAAAGTAGGTTAGAAAGGTACATTTCATCAGATAGCAATAGAATATCTTTTATCATTTTTAGTGGCTATGAACAAAAGGAGAATATGGGCAAACCGAAAGAATTTTACATTCTGTTACAATAAAGTTTCCTCGCTCAGCTTTAATTTGGTGATCCTAGGAAGGTAACAACAGGTAGTAGTGATTGTACCACACTATGATATTGAGTGTTTTGCTACAAAATATCTGTTTTAATGTCTTTATCCTCTATCTCAGTTCATTGGCTTTTCCTCAACAATTTCATCATAATCTAGAAACACCATTACATGTTTGCAGTACATAATGATTACATCCCTTGTGTGCAGTGGTGCATGTATAGAACATTTCTGAATTCCTTTTTCATCCCCTTCCTCTCCATTGCTTTTATCTCTTGGTCCCTTTCACATTTACAAAAAGTCTATTTCCCTACTTCCTATTATCTATCTTTTATTTTGCTCTTTATTTATATTTAGCATTTCTCATATAAGATCTCATATTTAAGCCTCTGTGTCTGACATATTTCACTTAAGACTATGGTCTTGAGATGTATCCATTGATCTAAAAATGCCACAGGTTTATCCTGTTTGCAGCAAATTCCTTTATGTGTAAATCCCATATTTTCTGTATTCCTTTATATGTTGATGAACATTTAGGCTGCTTCCAAGATTTAGCTATTAAGCATCGTATATAACATATACAGTGCATATGTGTACATAACATCCTATAAACAAGGGTGTGCATGGGTTACTGAATATGATTCCTTTAACACATTTGGAAAGATATCTAGAAGGAGAAAAGCTCGGTCAAGTAGAATTTCTAGGTTTAGTTTTTGAGGCATCTCGCTAAACTTTTCGTAATGGCTGTGCTAGTTTACATTCCAATCAACAACCTTGCTTATATTTTCTTTTCATGTATAGTTTTAAAAACATTATAACTTTGCTTTTTATATAAATTTTAAGAATGGTAACCCATAATACAAAGTTTGCTAGAGTACATTTCTTTCAGTGAAGTTTTTCGCTTCTGAAATTCACCCCTATTTTTCTGTCTGATGAACTTACTTTTACTTCAATATTTTCTATTTAAATATGACATGTTATATTCACTTATTCTTCTGCTTGACATTAATATTGACATTTTTGTTTTGTTTTTGGTTATTACAAAAAGTGCTGGAAATATCATTCTTTATTTTTGTTGCCTTCACAAAACAGTTTCTCTGAAGATACACAATGGAAAATGGATTTGTCATGTATGGAATTATTCACCTTTCTGAAAATGATAAATTGTTCTCCAAAATAATCATTCAAAAACATATACCCAGCAGTAATAAGGTTTTTGTTGATGCATATCTTTTCTCATGCATGGGATTGTGAAGCTTCTAATTTTTGTCAATTAAGATATCTGCCTATATTCATGACATATTCTTGGCTCCTAATGAGACTGATCATATCTTCCTATGTTTATTGTACAGCCCGGTTTGTTTTTCATAGAATGGCTGGGTTAGATCTTCCTTTCATCTTTCTCTTGCAATATTTGGTCATCTTTTCATTAACATATTGGCATGTTAATATTTTTGGCTATTACAAATGTTTCAATTAAGTTTAAAGATATTTCTTTTAATTTCTTTATTGGATATCATGATAATTATAAGATTTTAACATTTTTGTTCTGTATTTTTATTAGTACACATTTGCAGTACATACAAGTTGCATTTATTATAGGTAGTAGATCCACATACATAATACATCTTGATTTCTGTTCCATCCACTTCCTGTGGCTGTCTCCTCCCTTTATCTCTTGGTTCCTTTCCTTTTTGCAAAATGTTTCTCTGTTTCATATAATCTAACTTTTATTTTCTTCTTTAATTTATTTATATTCTCATGTAAGATAAACCATGTGATAATTTAAACTTGTTCATCTAACTTATTTCACTTAATATTTATGGTCTCCAGGAATATCTTTTTCCTTACGAATGACTCAAGTTTTTCCTTTTTAATGTAAGAATAGCACTCCACTGTGCTTATGCATCCATTGTCTTTATCCACTCATGTGTTTATGAATATGTAGGCTGTTTCCAAGATTTAGGTACACTGAGTTGTGCTGATGTAAACAGGATTATACTATATTTAAAATGTAATAAAATAGAATCGGTTTGTCTATTTCCTTATTTCCCTTTTTATTAATATATGTTTGCAACACATAATAAATAACTTCACTGTGGGGGAATTTATATATATATATATATATATATATATATATATATTCTTGATTGTTTTTATTTTCTTTTCCTTTCTTCTCCTTCCAATCTTTCCCTATCCCTATATTCTCTTCCCTTCTCCATGTGGTCTCTCTCACTCTCTATTTTCATTTAATAAAGTTTTTTTTTTTAAAAGGGTTTAAAGGAGGGAAGAAGAGAAATGAAAAAAGACATAAATTATATATATATATATATATATATATATTTAGATCAATTTTGTTTATCTATATCTGGTAATCTAACAAACTCCTTGGAAGGTAACAATATGCAATATTACAGCCATTGTTAAATTCCTATCATGTTGTTTTGAAAACTTATACTGTTATCATATTGAGTTTGTTGCTGTTGTTTGATTGTTTTGCTTTCTGTATTTCTTATCTGTGTTTTTTCTCTTAAATAAGTAAAAAATCTCTAAAACATTCTTCCATATCCCTATGTCAGTATAAGCTTCTACTATTGTTTTATCAATCTTAAATATTTGTTTTCTTATACAAATTTCTATGTATATGAATGAGCTTTTCAATTTCTATCAAAGATATTTAAAAATAATCAGACTTTTGAAATACTAACCATATTTGAGATATATTTGAAGGAAATAAAAAATATGAAAAGCAATGTAGGACCAAGGACCAAGCTCAGCAGTACTGTGCCTGCCTGTCAAACACAAGGTCCTGAGTTTGACTCCAGGGACCATAAAAATAAATAAATAAATAGTAATGCATATTTCAGTGTTGCTCCGTGCAAACATATAGTAGCAAACAAAGTTTAGAAGAATTAAACTGTCTAGTAAATAAAGTGAATTGAAATCTTAGATTTTTGATAAAATTTGTCTTCCAATTTATATGCAAAATAATACGATATAGTTTTTAGACAATGAGGGCTATGTTAAATCCACGTTTAATTTTAAATATTAAATATGATAAAATTTAGATGTTACAAAATTGGTAACACTTGGTAAGTGAAGAAGTTAATTTATATATGTATTTTACATGTGTTTTTTATTTTTATACCTCAGACTATCATGTTGGTGAATATGTTTATTTTAAAAAAATAGCTGGATCTTGAATTTATTCATGCAATAAAATGCTTCCTTAATGACTTGTAATTATAGAGGTATTAGATTTTCAGTGTAATCAGTTGCATTTTAAATTATCTCCTGCAGGAGGCAGGTAAAAATACAAAATAAAATGTTGTATTCTCAGACATTTTAAAATTGAAATGCCAAAGTTTCACATTCAGTCTTCTATCAGAATGTTTAATATGTGTTATATGTTTCTTTCTTAGGAAGTTTGGGCATGTTGGCACGAATTATTGTCATACTTGGAAAAGGCAAACAAATGGCTAAATGAAGTAGAATTAAAACTTAAAACCACTGAAAGTATTCCTGGTGGAGCTGAAGAAATTTCTGAGGTGCTAGAAGTAAGTGGTGAATTAATATAAATGATATTAATTTAAAAGCAGTGTTGAAAGAGGTCAGATACCAAACAGAGAAAACCCAGAAGTGAAGCTATTCTATATTAACTCAACACAGGCACTTTGAAAATGGCCCTCTTTCCTTTTGAGATCCTTCCCGATCTCAAGTTTTAAAGAGGATGTAAATAACCTCTTAGTGTGGACGTTTGCCTTTTGTCTCATCACTAACCACTGTGTAGATATTTTGCCTGGCTACGTCTCTAAAGACAGTGCTAATAGTAAATATTATGTTCAGTTTAAAACCTGCTATATTCAAATAAAGTGGAATACTTTTTAAATTATTTAATGCCCTTACTAAATGTTTTTATACTTTATCCAATGTGCTGAGGTACTAAATAAACATGCTTTGATAATGGACAGAGTATACGTATTTTTATATTATATATTTTTAGTATATGCATATTTAATTAGGCATAGTTATTGTATATATATACACATTATATACACACATATATGTGTATGTTTAAAGCAGTATATGTTTAAAATATTTATAAACTTTTAGTACATTTTCAATTTTTATTTTCGAGATTGCAATATTAAGCTTTAGAAGAGTTTACATGTATAGTATCTGAGTTATGTAACTTCTGATGTTTATGGTCAGTATTTATGTTCTATACATTTTGTTGTACTTTTAGCTCATAATTAATATGCAGTCTTAGCAAGTATAGTGTATTCAGAACTGCATGGAAAGTGTGACACTTTTGTACATATACAAAGTAAGAGTAAGTTATTCAAGATAGGAAGTGAAAAATGTTTCTTAAGATAGAATAGAATTTGAATCCCTTATATCAAAGCTGATCGTTTTATCTATGTGTCTTAATTTCCCATTAAATTATAAACTGAAGAGATATCAAGAACAATGAGAGAAATTTTAAGTGGAGTATAATCTTGTCCCTGTCCTATTTAGGGACATGCATTGCTCAAACATTACTCGTGAATTAATAGCGTTATGCGTCTTCTAGAAACGTTGCAACAAAACTTGTAGCACACTAATAATAGTATAATGGACAGAATAAACACTGTGATAGGTTAATTATGCTATGAAATTATCATATTGTACATGGATTGCAAGGTGAAATTCGTGAAACAAAATTTTGTCTATCCTATGAAGGCCTGTTCTAGAATGATTAGTGAGGAAAGGTCTAAGGCAGGGGCTAGGGATATAGCTCAGTAGCATAAGCACCTGCTTACTAGTTGTTTAGCAGATTTGCTGCTGATCATCTATTGAGTAACAGCAGGAAAGATAGAAAGGATAGAAAACCTATATGGTTTTAAGTGTCCTTTCTGTTTAAAGTTTCTGTAATTTGTTTCTTAATTTATCTGTGTTGCTTTAGCACATTTATTTAAAAAAATTCATAGCTTATATACTTAATTAGGATACAAGGGAAAATGAATGTTATTGAAAATCTGCAGAGTTAAGTTTGATTCAAAGTAAAACAATGTGTAAATTGCAAGCAAAATTAGTAATGAATTTTACACTAAAATTTGATGACTACTTGATAAATAATATTTATATTTTTGTACGCAATCATTTGGGTGGTCTATATTTTGATTTACTCAAAATTTAATCAGAAAATATATTGAGATTTCTCAGATTTTGAAAAATAATAGATACTCAAGAAAACTCAAAATATGTATTGCAACATTTCCATTTTTAAAAAACAGGTAAATCAGTGTTGAATGAATGAGTTAACACATAATGCCTGCTTCTTATTTTATTTTAGACATGTTTGTGCTCCAATAAGATGATATTCAGTCACTTGTTTTCACACACACCTAAACTTGATACTGACATTCTTTTTCCATATATAATCTTGCCCGGCAACTTTGCCAATCATGAATATTTTTCCAGGTAGGGAATGTTGGACTGCAAATAATAGATATCACAGTGATTTAAGGTAAAAAAAAAATGCTTTGTTTCTCTATTAAGACTAGATTGGAGGAAAGATATATTGAGATGGTGACATTTTGATCTATGAAGTACCCCAGTCCTCTTTTTTCTCTTCTCTCTTCCTGAGCATCAAGGATTTTGACTCATTTTTGTTACCTCTTGGTCCAAAGGTAGTTGCTTTATCTCCAGGTGGTGTTTATAAAAATGTGTGGAGAGCAAAGGGATTTTTTTCTGAGAGACTGTTTCTTTTATTCCATGTAGGAAGAATTCTGCATATGAACTCCTATCTATGTATATTTTCAGTATTTATACCACTAACTATAAAAGAAGTTGGGAAATTGAGTATTTATCTTTCTAGGTTTTAGAGTAGAGGGCATCCCTAAGAAGGTGGTTGTGAACCATTTTTAAATGCCCATTACACAGTGAAGATTCATAGATCAATATCAAAGTTTTAAATAAAAGTGCTACTTCAAAGTTTTATTAGCCCAATTAAATTTTATTTTAAATAGTTTATAGCTTAATCATACGTAAATAAGTATATATTAAATATTTTGTGCTGAATTCAAAGTATTTAGAGACAGAAGAGAAATATTAATTGTTGCAAATGTGTTTCAGTCTCTTGAAAATTTGATGCGGCATTCAGAGGATAACCCGAATCAAATTCGCATTTTGGCACAGACCTTAACAGATGGTGGCGTCATGGATGAGCTGATCAATGAGGAACTCGAGACATTTAATTCTCGTTGGCGAGAACTACATGAAGAGGTATGAAGACAAGTGAAAAATGTCCTTTATTTTCATAAATGTAGAGCAGATAAAGGCTTCTCAGATTAAAATGAGGAAAAATTTCAGTTTAGCTCAGCTTCCAGGTTTTAGAGCAGTTGTAGACAATGGATGAATTCTTTACATATATGTATGTTTTAGCTTGCACAACATTGAAAAGAAGAATTTTTTAACAGGAAATTGAGGTATACAAAGAACAAGTACCATGCTAAGATCTATAAAGTAAGAAATAATCTAGTAATCAAAGTCAGTTATCTAAATATAGATTTGATTTCTTACTCAAAAATAACTATAGATATGAGTAGTCATCCCTTTCATCTTTGATTCTTTCTCAATTTTGCTGTAATCATACTTAATATATTAAAAAATATATACAATTCCATTTATACCCTTGATAGCATTTATTTGCCCTAAGAAATAAAATGTATTATTTATATATAATTGATAACATTTATTATTTCAGAATTTGCATACAAATATTATCAAACTTAAACTAAAATACCATTTTTCTTAATCAATGTTTTCCATATTCCCCTAAATCAACAATAGCTTATCAAGGAAAAAACTATTTCATAATGATGTCTAGTGTCATATCAATTTGCTAAGTGCAACTATTACATATAAAATACTATTCAATGGTTTGGGTAATAAGTTAGAAAATTCTTATCCTTCAAAATGTGTAGTCATTAATTCAGAAATAAAACCTGATTGCTTTCCTAATGTGTGAAACACATAACCAATAGAGCCTATATAAGATGGGATGGAAAATAAAAGAGACTACATGAATGGTCTCTAGGGAAGCAGGTGGAAAACCATTTTATATTTAAGTGGGAAAAATTTTATATGCTTGTAACTTGAAAGGAAAGTCTACAGTAGGAGAAGTTTCTCACCTTCTCTTGTGGAAGAGAAATACCTAGGTTCATGTGGGCAGATTTGTGCCAGAAAGCCATCAACAGCCTCAGGTCTTGAATCGTGTCATTTTGCAGTCATGGAAACTTTTAGGGCTTTCAATAATAACAAACAGCTGATTTTAGTACGCATGCCATTGGTTTGCCACCACAGGTATAGGGTGAGTAGTTATATGTGTTTTTTCTATATCGACATAAAGAATTTCCCTCTGGAAAAAGTAGATTCCAAGTAATCTCCTGGCCCTTCATATTGTTGCAGAGTAATTGATTGTAAGTTTGTGAGTCAAAGTAGATATTTCTAGGTAGCAACTAAGCTGTCAGTAGAAGTGAAATTTTCCATTTCTACTTCAATGATTACTGAGGAAGTTTACAATAACTATGCAAATAGATAATAAAGTTGAAACTAATACCAATTTTTGATAACATGATCCAAATATTCAGCCAATAATAATCTGTAATAACCTGTGTGTGTGCATGTGTTATAGTTTATTTTGTTTTGAGACAGGATCTACCTATGAAGTTCAGGCTGACCTTGAACTCACTATGTAGCCCAGGCTGGCCTCAACTTGCTGTGATCCTCCTGGCTCAGTCTCCTAAGTGCTAGCATTACAGGAATGTGTCTGCATAACTGGAAAAATTAGATTTTGATATGAAATAGGAATGCACTTTTTTTAGATTTAAATATTGTTGTCAGGCAAAACATAGTTCAAGCTAAGAAACCAAAAGTTATATTTTAAAATCACCTTTGAGTAAGTTTTGAAAGTCTCAATTTTTAATCTTTAATGTTTCAGTGAGTATCTATTCTGTCCTTAGAAATAAGCTACTCACTGCCTGAATCAGCCCTATTTAGGTACTTACCTTTCAATCTTTTATTAACATAAAATTACTTGTGATCTTATGTATTGACAATCTTTGACATTAAATCTCATTATTTTCCAAGATAAATGCAGAGTAAACATCCCAAATTTGAAAATCTGAAATCTGAAATGTTCTAAGTCCAAATTTAAAAAAAAAATTATCTTATGTTTTACTTGATACTCTTTGAGTATTCCATACCTGACTTCATCTGATGAGTCATAGTGATAATGAAGATGCATTAAAATTACCTTTTGGATATATGTATAGAGTATATGTGAAATATAAATAAAATGTTTATATTTGACTCCCATCCCCAACATACCTCATTGTGTACATGCAACTATCCCAAAATTAGAAAAAAATCCCAAATTTGTAAGCTTTTGGTCTCACGCATTAAAGAGAATGAAGACTCAAACTGTAATCATTCATCTTGGCTATAAACCTTGCTTAAACACTTTTTTTACTATAGTCTGAAATGACTTGTTAAAGCATGAAATTTCCAATCAAAAATTTTGAGTTGGAGTAGCTGTTAGTCAGATATAACATAGCAATGACTTTCACTCAGCAGGGAAGATTGTATAGTACCTTTTTACTGAGAATTAAATCTTAAGAGAGCCTAAAAGGTAACTAAAGAATGTCCCAGGGCTGAGGGCTTGGACAATAGGAAGGAACTGATTAGGAGAACAAGGAGCTCTTCCCAAGGCTGGTTTAAAACTGTTTGCAAAAAGAATATCTGGGGTTAATTATATCCAAAGGAGTTTGCTTGTTTGGTTGACTCCACCAAGAGCTGATATATAGGTGACTACTGCGATTTACCATAGGGAAACCAGAGAAGAAGGAGGATATATATAGTAGGGATTCCATATTGTACTCTAGGTCAAGCCTCCAGTAACCCACCCAGACACACCCAAAAGGGTGCTCCACCAATAACCTTAGGTGGATTCTTAGGCAAATCAAATCTATCACTTTATCTGAGATAACATGTCAAGGCTTTCATACTTTCATCTGTGATTAACAGATACTGTATTTTAGGTTCCTTTTTAAAAAAAACCTGTAAAGTACTATAGTGAAAGTATTTATTTACTACAATACCAGAAAGGTAGTATATATTCAAGAAAGATCACAATTTTTATTTTGATTGAATTATATTTTCCATTATTATCCTCTGAAAAATAGATAGATAAATATAAGATTAAATATCAGGCTGCACGAATAAATACATATATTCGAGTATGAAATATAATAAAATCTATATACTTCCACTAATTAAATGTGTCTATGACAGTATTGAGTATATTTCCAGAGGAGCAGAAAATCATTATGAAAGAGTTGAAGCTTCAAGTGCAGACTGACACAGCTAAATTAAAGATAAAGAAACTGTTTGAGGAGTAAACAATTCAAAAGAAAGAGGAAAAGGAAAATAAAATACACAAGTCAGATGAATCAAGATTTTGACATTCTCTAAGTCTTAAAACTGGAAGAAATTCTCCACTTCTACCTCAGTGATCACTGAAGAACTTATAGTAACAGTACACAAATCGACAATAAAGGATCTTGAAACTACTATCAGTCTTGGTTATGACGATACAAATATTTGGCCAATACCTGTAAGCTATTCAGCAATGAAAAAAAAAAAACTTTAGATGCTTTAGGGATTTGATAAAAATCACATCATGTTAGGGTTGATATTTTCATCACATTGTCCTAAGTCTATATTTAATAAAGTGATGGGACCATAGATATGATGTTGAGCTAAAATGATTGGTGATGGATGCCTTCCTGTTTTTCTGTGTGCTTTCATCAATTACAAACTACTTAGGCAATAAACACCTGATAATGTGACAACTAAAACAATCCTTGTACATCCCCACTGACTGTCTACTCTCAAAATACAATGTTTTCATGCAATGTAGATTGAGCCTTGGGATTCTTATATCAGTGGCCAAACAAACAAAATGATTACATCAACAGGCTTTAATTTTTTTGTAAAAAAATCCAAATATTTATTTTATTCATTAACACCTTATAGTCAAAAATTCTAAATTTTTGAACCATTATTTACTTGGCTAGAGAAAAAATTTATACACTGATAAACAAAGAACTTTTTCATTTGAATGTAAGCCTTAACCCATTTTCTTCACAAATGTCTATGTCAGAGGTTTGTGGAGTTTTTTTTTTTTTTATGGCCTACCTAATGTTTCTTACAGCTGCAATTATGCAGAGCTAAGGTAACTTCAATTGCCTTTTAAATCAATCAAACAGCCAGAGTTTTTATTGCCTATGAATATTTAAAAGAGATATGCTAGATTCCATTCCTAATTTCGGAGTGCGGATTTGCATTCAGATAAGTGATAAATTACTTGCATCTCTTTAAAAGGCATCTTTCAGTCTTCATAATCATAAGACACTATATTTTCTATTCACAGTAATGATTCGAAGGATCGTTAGCAAACAAGAAAGCAGCTCCAAAAGCCATACCAAGTCACGTAATTTTTATGGCTATTGTAATAGCTCTATTCTCCACCAGAGTAACCAAGCTGCAGATCTTTTAGTAGTACAATAAAATGCATAATAGTAATGATAACATTGGTTTCAAGGGCCCCAGTATCTACCACAAGTGTCACATATACATATTTTCATTTAGTTCTCAACTAGCTTTATGACATGGAATTGTTTATATCTCTATTCTACATAAGTGACTTCAATATCAAAAATCACAATGCTAGGAAGAGACTGCAAACATTTAGATTCATATCTCTAAATTGATGCCCAGATTTATGACCATTTCACCATATACCTCTAATCTCTGTGATTCTTGGATTTTATGAAACCTTAAAGCTACTGACCAAGTGATAAAATGAATTTTACTACACATGTATATACTATTTTTCTTGGCAATATCCAATGAGAAATAAGTTGTTTCACCTGACATTAAATAACAGGCAAGCAGAGTAAAAGAGAAAAGACAAAGTCTAAAATGGATAATGTTGCTTGAATAGTGTACTTTTATGGCAGGTATCTAGAGGACCCATTAATGGTTCTAGATAATTAGAATTTTGAATGATTTTCTCAGTGTCATATATGCTTAGCATACATAGAGCAGGATGGACAAATGGTGTTTGAGGAGTACTATAATCTGGGAAAATAAGAGATAATGTATGAGTCATGAAGCCTAATTTTATCGGAAATCCCATTGTCTAATAGGATAATATGCCT